TGCAGTGTCAGTAGGAGATCGAGTGACAAGTGGAGTGGTTTTAGATATGCTCGGGTTTGTCAATTCTCTCGACAATGTAGATAGAATATTACGGAATTTTGTATAATCTGGATCAGATGAACGAAGAACAGCATCAATGTGGCGAACTTAGATTAAATACGATGAGAGGTCTGTTGGTAATTCTTGGCGCAACATTACACGATTTTGGAGATGAGACACAATAGTGGGGTGGAGAGAATCGTATAGATGGTTTATTAAGGCGTCATCAGAAAGCTGCGTTTTTTGAGCAACTTCATACCAGTCAATAAGGTGAGAGGCAGTGTCTTTCTGTCCTTGTTTAATGGTCAGTATTTTCCTACGAGCTGCATTACATGGTTCAATCTCCCCAAATGTTTGTTCAAGGAGGACAAAAATGGCATCAACAGATGTGTATTTGACAGAACCATTTCTGTTTATACCATGAGAAATGGTGGAATATGCTCGTCCCTTGAGGCGGGAAATTAGATAAAGTATCTTAGTATTTCCAGACGGGAACCAGTCCTTGTTTGCAATAAACTTCATATTTATTTTCCGGATAAATTGAGGAAGTTCTTTGTGCATATCAATGTTATCCGCAGAGAAGAAATCTGGGTCAGGGTGTTGAGCAGACCGGTAGATACAATGTGTTGAAGTATTTCTCTCAGTAGTAGTTGCTTTTGTCTTTAGATCAGAGACTACATCAGAGAATTCACAATTCTTTTTAGGCAATGTGTCATAGTCATTCTTATAATGGCGGAGTTCATTTTCCAATTTTCTGAATGAGCTTACTAGGGAAACGATTTCATTACTGAGTAAAATAGGACTAACTACAGCGTTACGTCCCTGCATGGCGTTGAGTAAAGATTCTTGGTTTAGGATGGAGTTGAGGAGAGGGTACATGTGAACGAAGTCTATATTCTGGTCGTTGAATTGAAGGGTGTGGTCGTCGTTAGGTAGGTCATGATTTCGAGAACTTCTATCCATTCTATTATTGATTTCATATATTTTACTTTAGGCGCATCTCTGTGATAGGTATGCAGAAAATTTAGTACGAATTACACTTTTGGTACTATTTGAATATGAATCAATTTGTCAGTATGGGTATAGGATTTACGCGCGAGGGACGTAATTAAAGGTGATTTGGTAGACAATATGTCAGGGGAAGGTCATGAAGTAGATTGACGAGGTCTAATCTGGTGATTGAGATTGTCTACAAAGGAGAAAGGTGACTCCTATTGAGTCCTGTAAAAATATATACATCGTGAATCGCGTATCAGACGCGTTATATCATGTGACAACAACTTCCCTCAATTCACTCTATCCCTTGACAGGTTACCCCAGAGAATTTCTAAGATCTTGCCTTTAAGGGCCTGTAAGTCCTGATCAAAGAGTTTTCGGAGTCTCTTGTCAGTGACTGGTTCCAGCAGCTTGCAGAACCCGATAATGAAACGCTCTGCTTGTGCAAAGCGCGTTTGGAATATCCTGCTATTACAGTCATGGGTTGGGATGTATCACCATGATGCTGACCTTTGACTGTTGGGATAGCTTTATTGGGAATAAAGTGTGGAAAGATGTTGATTGATCTATTTTACAATGTAGGGAGCTCCGACCCCTATTTATACTACAGCCCCGCTTACATTACAGAAACAAACCCAACAAACACTTCCTAATGTAGTGCTAGCATGACACACCTAGTGCAAGGTGTGCTATGCATGGTGAACGTGCTAAAGGCACAACACCTACCCTGTTCTGCGAGGAATTCGGTTGCGAAAATTTGAGGCGACAGAGTTTGTTGAGGGAGTGAGTTTCGATGACTCGCCTGGTAGATTGGCTCTACAAATTGTTGTGTGTATGGGCGAGATGGCAGTTGTGGCCCGTTAAGGACCATTTCGACATTTTGACCCGTCGAACATTGAGTAGGGGGGGAGCCAGGGGCCAGCCTCTATGGATGACTTGGGTGGCATAAGTGATTGGTAAATATGAGTGGCAGTAAAATGTCGTAGGCGGAATGCAATATTGTCACTTGGGGTTGCGAAAAAAATTCGTCTGTGAGTGGCAGACAGCTGTGTAGTTTAGTGGGTTTTGTTTTGTTCACTTATGTGCTAGGTAAAGTGATTCCCGTTGCACTCCTACTGGAGCTTAAGCACGGGTGGGGCCGGGCTGGATCAGGTTAACTACCATTAAGTACATCTACCTCGTCCCACCTAAATGACCGGACCACCTCAGACTTCACCCATGTGTTGAATCATGTCAAGACCAACCGTCCAGAGAACCCCCTTTTGGCGCGCCGAAGCGTAAATTCCTCCTCAGCTTCGGCCACCACGCGCCTGAGCCCTTGACATCCCCGCGATCTGTAACTTTTCCCTTCGATTCATTCGCAGCTTTTGCTCATCTCGGCATCTCCTCATCTCATCCAGGGCTCTTTTTATTCACTGGAGGCCTCATCCAGTCGCCCACCAAGGCCTCCTCAGTTTGTATTCCCTTTTGATTCCTTCATGCAGCATTCCTCTGTTCTTCAGCCGATCTCGTCATCCCAGAAACTTTGTAGAATGTCCACCCCTCCGGCCTTGCTCCGTCGCTGCCGTACCCCTAGCCGTGAAGGTCGAAAACGCGACTGAGAGCTCAAGACCGAAGCACCGAAGCCCCAGCCTTTGTCGAACACTCTGTTGGTGTGCCGGCGAAATGTCGTACGTATTCGTCGGTGGCAATTCATCGCAGGTCGAGTTGTTGGTGCCCTTGGCCAAGGTGAGGACGCATCTAAGGCCGGTAATTCGACCGTACCTTCACAGCAACTGGCAGTTGCGGAGGGTAGGACATCCTCTTGCTTCTTAGTTGGCGATTTGGCTTTTGAAGGTATGGGATTGCTTAGGTAGGTGGTGAGATGATTCTAGACAGGGCCGCGGGATGATTTTGGCTAGGAATGATTTTCCAGAGAAATAGAAAATAAGATCTTGAAGGTTTCGATTGTTGTGATACGAACATCAGACAGATCATAGGCTGTCTGCGGCTCGTATCTGGGGTGTAGATGGTTGATTTCGTTGAGTTGTGCAGTCGTGAAATCTCTGCAAGTCGGATTTTCGACCAGAAATGAGCCAACACCACTCCTCCCAATTGCCAACTCGACGAAAACTCTCAAATTCACCCTTTATCGTAATTGAATCTCGGCTCTGGGCGAATATTTCACTCCTAGTTTGGTAGAGGACACCACTGACAGGTGTTCAGCCTTCGTCTTCCGTAGTTTGATGGGTAGCAGGGACCTACGCTAAAGCTTGGCGCCACACGGACGAAAAATAGAAAACAATTATACAAACTCTACAGTGAAAGCTGGAAGTTCCTATCGGACACCACTGATAGGTATGGAAAATAGTCTTCCTGAGTTCAGGGCTTATCTTGAGCAATGTTGATTTATCACATGAGATTTGAAAAAGAGATGGCTCAATTCTGCCCTGAGTGTGATTAGCCGCTTTACTGCTGATGTGATGGTGCACACGACGTTCTCATATTTAAAATACCTGTCTTGTAATGCCTATTTATTCGAACTACCTTTTTACCAAAACTCCTGCCCATTGATATTATTTACCAGAGATGGCTCCCAAGAGATCGGAAATACGGGATCAGATAACTCAAATCGATCAGTCTAGATTGGAAAATAATAAAACAGAATGGAATGGCTTTGGATGTGATGGAACTGGGCTACTGTGGGTATGGAGAGCTGTAGAGCAAGGGCAGTGTATATAAATTCGGTGCTTCTCAGTATTTGAAGGTAATGAGCAAGCCCAATACTCCATTATAACTCACTACTACCTACATCACTCAGTGAACGTGCGTTTATTCACCGTTTTCCGTTCCCGTTCCCTTTCCCGTAGCCTTGTATTTATTCCTAAAAGGAATCTTTTTTTCCAAGGTTGCGTTTATCCCCATCCTAAAAGTTAAGTCTGGACTTGTTAATCCTGTTACCCTAATCTGTATTACTGGTTTAGAACCGTTGTTCAATTTGATCGCCCGCGAGCCCACATTAATGGTTACAAATACTGACTATATTTTGATATGAGGTAACTTATCAGTTAAAACCTGCCAACCCATCTATTTTATGCCATAAGCTTTCCTCTTTGTCTTTCGGTAACTGCGATAACGCTGTAGTGCTACATTGGTTAACAAGCCACATCTCCTCTATCTAACCCAGGTTTTGCTCATCCTATTTGTTTCCCGTAGCATATTATTGATCGCCTTCATCATCTGGAATCTCTCTGCCTATCTATGACCCAATATCTATTGCGTAATATTTTTGATGTAACAAGTATTGCTTATCATTACTACTAAGGATCTGTATTGGGTTTTCCTCCAAGTCTCACCTCTAACGTTTGACCATGGAAGGCAGGGAGTGATCCTGTGCTTTTGATTGGTTGGTAAGTGGATAGCTTTGACTGTCGATTTAAATCCGTTGTACTTTGTGGATTCGAGTCAAGACCAACGTGCTTGCCTCGGACATGTTTTGCTAGATTGTTTTGGTTCTATTCTAGGTCTCAAAAACCTCGTAATCACTGTTTACTCCACAATGCTTTTTGCCTTTCAAAATTTAGGTTTCGATAAAGTGTGGTTGCTATTTAGGTGTTATGGTCTGGGGCAGCCAGTGGTCGAGTCTTCTAAATCCATTGTTGTTTTTACTAGGATTACACCAATTCTGGGTATATCACAACTTTTTCTGGCTCATTCTGCCGTCCTTTGATCTGATACTCACTGCAAAGTTTTACTGGGCGAATAAAATCTGCTTTTCTGTTGTGTAGTAGAGTATATTGTCTGGTGTTGTCCTATCCTTATAAGTCAGTTGAGGGTTTACAATATCTTTGTCAATGATCTGACGTTTGTACTTGACAGAAACCCCGTCACATAATCTCATGTAGTAGACGTAGAACAGACACAGGTAGAGATATCATCAGCAACTAGAAAATACTTTGGTTGCTAAAGAAATTTTAATTCCCTGATTAACCTTTGTTCAAGGTATTCCCAGATCCCCTACAATATTTAACTGGCTGTAAAGGTATATAGTGGAGGATTTGTCTTACCTGTGATTTTCCTCTGTAAATTCATCCCACTCACGAGCCTTCATAGTTTCTTCGTCCACTTTATCGTAATTATCTTCATCTGGCTCTGGCCTGATACCGCTTGCTTCACCCCCTCCCTCAATTATACCACCACGGGCCCTTTCTTCTTCCAAGTATTCATCAATTGTCATGGTAGGTAAGTTATGTCCAGGTTTAAAAACGTCTTTCCTGAGTGTCTTTCGATTGCTTAGTAATGTAAAAGGCCTCAACGGCTTACCGCTTGAGCTGAGTATAGGCGCAGAGTTTGCAGTTGATACTAAATCAAGGTCGAGTCGTTCGGAGTAATCTTCATTGTTATGTTTTAATCCCATTCTCTCTCTATAGTCCCGATCTAACGAATCCATTGCGTTGGGAGGGATTGGCGGCGCCATTGCTAAAACTTTCAATTCGAGATTTAACGATTCCAAGGCCTGAAAAGTATTATGTGTGCAAAGAGATATCTCAGTTAGGTATAGTTCACGTGCAGAGTCTTCCTCATCTTCGAAGTGAATAGGATTTCGGGAGAGTGACTGGTGAATTATGTGTCAGAGATATTCATAACTGTAGTTGTGGGCCTAAAACTCATTTATACATGCCTCTAATTTTTTCTTCAAATCTTTTTCAAGTTTGAAGCCGGCTATTTTTGCGTCCCGCCGTAAATTAGGATCATTTGTGGAAATTGTTGAGAAAGTATCGGGGTCTTGAACGTATAACTCATACAGCTTCCTGTGCTCAGGGGAGAGTATTTCACATTGATACAGGAGTAAAAGATATCTTTCGTAGGTATTCTTTGCTTGTTTAATGATAGATTTACGATCTTTGTAAGGGATTCGATTTATCAACTCAGCAAGCCGGTTGTTAATTAGTAGATATCTAAATTTGGGTTAGCGTGCAATATTATATAAATGATACGATTAAAACAAACTCACGGGAGATCACCTGTCGTTATGTCATCTAGAGTTTCGTTAGAGCTAAACAGTGGAATACTATTTGCAAGCTTAAGACATTCCTCGTATGAAGAGATTGCGATAGCTAAATCATCCTGGAGCTCGTCGTTAGTTCCCCATGATGTTCCAAGCTTCTCCCTTTGGCTTTCAGCAGATTGATATAAAGCTCTAATACTTTCTTCCGCCATTCTCTTGCGTGTAGACCCAAGGTTATCAAGAAAAAAAATAAGGGTGCTAAAGTCAAGGAGTCAGAGGTTAAATTGAATCTTGAGTTGTTGGCTTGAAGCATACAAAGAAGCTACGGCGTATGTAGAGCTAAATCAAGATTACCCAATACCGAAAATTATTTGGTTGTGGCTAGGATTTTGAATAATAGAGGTCTAACATGGATGTAACATAATTATGTATGTCATTGGACCTTGAGGTGGGAGCAAGGGAAGGCACGGGTCAAAGCGGCAAGTGATGGTACGTTCATGCGAACGGGGTTTGAAGTGGCTTACTGTAGCTATGAATTCAAAGCACGCCTATAATCATTAATCACAGAGAGAGAGAGATGTATATTTACTGTATTAGTTAAGTCTAAGACTATCTCGCACATTGAGCTTCTCTCTGACCCAGGCCACACCTTGTACAATGCCCCTTGCCTATCATGTTACTTCAAAGATAGTTGATATCTTGCCCGTGATGTATAGCCATTCAGCCCTGTAATTACTCGTGGAATTCGGCTACTTTTTTCACGAAACCTTCTATCCCAAAAAAAGATGGTAGCGATGGAAACCGCGTGCGCGAGAAAAACTCTCAAAAAACTTGCAGCCCCAGCCAGGCGAGCCTATACACCGGGACCACGTGAGGTGCGCAAATTCATCTATGTCTCCCTTCTTTATAACAGTCGAGGCCGGCTTGATCCGATCCACCATCTCCGTATCGGGTACTGGGCACGCTCCGGAAACTCATCGGATGGCCTTTCCTCCATGATCAAGGTTGGTGAAGAGAAGGGCTAAAACCATAGCATCTGGTCTGATCGTGGTTGGCATCATGGTAATAGTGATAGGGGGATATGCTTAAGGATGAAGATGATACAGACTGCAAATGCGATTGGGAATCATCGTCGAAATGAGGACTTTATTACTCAATCTCGGCTCTGTAGACTCTACAGTGAGAGCTGAAGGTTTGTTGGGGATACCACAGGCAGGTGTTAAGAACAGTCCCCCTTAAAACAGTAGTGAGTCGCCGGCAAAGACGAACTCTTCACCTTCTAGCGATGCCAGCGTAGGGTCGTTACTCACGACTTGAATCACTCAGTTGATTATGCTGAGGCTGGGAAACTGATCACTCAGTAGCGAAGGATTACGTGTCAGGGATCTAGATCACTGGTAGCTGCAGAGGGCGTATATAATGTAACGGATTTCCTGTAGTTAATCTCTATAGAAAAATATTAATTCTTTGTGGTACTGTTTACGTGCGGTGTCCGTAATTCTCTTCGCCCTTCATAAAGGGCTAATCTCGAATTGTATCTGCAAATGAAATCTGAGTGTGAGTGTTGTAAAAACGTCAGTTTGTGTCATCATACTTATAGTACATATCTTCCGATAATACATGCGTGGGCCTCAAAGACTAAGTCAGGATAGCTGATTTATTTTTTTAATTTAATTGAATTTCTCTAGTTTAACGTCCTATTTGGCTTCTTTATACAGAACCATGAAGACGGTAAGCCGCTTTGGTAAGGGAAAAAGCTTTCAACAAACAAAACCCGATGTCCTGCCACTTTGAATTGACCCAGCTTGTAAGGATTCTTGAGAAATCCCTCAGGCAGGATTTATGGGTTCCTTATTTAATTCCACTAGTCTTTATTGCTTAGCGAGGGCACCTATGTAGTTTCCATTTCCGAGTCTGATATCTTCACGCTTTGTTTTCTGTCTTTAGGAATAGTTACATTATTCTAATCACATCTCACTCTCGTCCTCTGCCAAACATAGTGACCTACTGTCACCTCCGGCCCCTCTATCTAGAACGACTCCCCGCTTTCCCTTTTACCACTTCTCTAGAAAGCCCTCCGCGTTACCACGAGGCGTCCTTCCTCAGTACATCCTACGCTACGCCCTCTCCTACGCCTCGAGTCCTGCGCCTAGTGAACCTGCGCCTGACATTACAAAGCGTCAATATAAAATTATAAAATAAATCCCGTACTCCCATGTCTAACCCGTTCTCGCCACCAAGCGAGTACATGGATGCCACTGAATCAGAGATTACAATGCTTCCTCCTGAGCTATGGAGTATTGCCTACCTAAACGCCCCTGGTGTTCTGGCTCTCGCAGTTAACATCGACTCTTTGCGCGTCGCGGAAATATACGCGACAGCTTCCAGCTTTTCCCTTAACCCTACTGCCGTCACTTCGCTTCCCTCTCGAACCCCAACTACTATACACCGCCCCTCGGCCCCCTCAATTACACCATTTAACGGCGAATCAGATAAATTGAGGTCCTTCTGCTCCCAATTGCAGAACCAATTCATAGATCAAGCCGAATGTTTTCCAAACGAAGGCTCGAAAGTTCGATATGCCTATCGCTGTCTTGGACCTGCGGCCCTGTCCAAAATGCGAACAGCGTTCCGTTGTTACGAGGACCCAACAATACCCTCGGAGATAAATTCAATTGAACAATTTTATGATGCTCTCCGACAACGTTGTCAGGATCCGGGCCTAACAGAAAAAGCTAGTCGGATGGTGGAAACTTTGTACCAGCAAGATATGAGTTTTCATGATTTTATATCTCTTTTCGAAGACAACCTCGCTGTCTCAACCTATTCCAGTCATGATAAGTCCCAATGGAAGTCAATGCTCGAACGCCGATTGTCCAAGGAGCTCAGAACATTGCTAAACTCGGCCAGTGATGTTCCCACGGAATATCACGAATTTGTCATCTATCTGCGAAAGAAGGACGCAAACATACAGGTAATTAATGCGCCCGTACAAGCCTTCCATAATACACGACAATTTGTCACTCCTGCTCCCGCTCTTCTCCCCTTCCAATCACCAAATATAACTGCAGCGTTCAAACCCACCGTATCTCAGGGTGGGTTAAGAATGGACCTAGATGCTGTTTCCCAGCAAAGACAGCCCGGGGGCCGGTTAACTCAACAGGCAAAAGATGCTCGAAGGCTACTCGGCCGGTGCATACGTTGTAACAGATCCGACCATGCCACTCTGAACTGCCCGCTCCCAGCACGTAACATGGCATACCCAGGGCCACAACTTAATAGGCCAGGAACAGTTAAAAGATTAAGTCCAACAACAATTCGCTCTCTGGAGTCTTATTCAGTAGTACACTTGGGCTGTTCTGGAATTTCTTCTTCTCGTCGCATGTATGTAAATGCTAGGATAAAAAATGAAAATTTAGTTGCTCTCGTCGACACTGGCGCCTCTGGTTTTGCTTTTGTGTCTTCTCAAACTGCTCAACACCTCAAGCTCACCTTCCAAACCTTGAAATCGCCAATTGCTATCCTAGGATTCGAGGGTAAGTTAAGTTCGAAGATATCAAGTTTTGTAGAGTTTCCCCTAAGCCTCGGTAACCACCAAGAAACCGTAACAGCATACGTCGTTCCAAATTGTAAGCACGATATTGTACTCGGTCTACCCTGGCTAGAGAAGCACTGTCCATATGTTGACTGGAAGGACCATTCAATCACTTTCGGTGAACCGTGTCTAGAGTCTTCTTGCTGCCTTTTCGAGACGACCATTTCCTACCACAACACAGCGGATCAGACTCTCAAACATGTGAACAAGCCGGGACCTAAAATAGAACGCCCACTAGTTGCTCCCGATGGTCAAACTCAACCCAGGCAAATATCTGCTCATGCTTTCACCCTAGCCAGTCAACAACCAGGGAGCAGTACCTTCGCCTTCAGCCTCCGAGACCTTGACCTAATGCTAGAAGATTCAACACAACGCCTCCCCAGTTTACGTATAGGAAACGCGTCCATGATTGTCCCAAAAGATGCTGATCCAAAAGACTTTTTACCACCTCAGTATCATGAGTATCTTGATGTCTTCGACCGAAAACAGGCAAATTCCTTGCCACCCCATCGTCCTTGGGACCACGCCATTGACCTCCACCCTGAAAAACAACCCCCTGTTTCCCGCCCATATTCAATGAGCCAGCCTGAGCTAAAAGCCCTCCGTGACTACCTTGACAAAGAACTTGCCAAGGGATTCATTCGCATCTCGCGGTCCCCAGCAGCAGCCCCTGTACTTTTCGTCAAGAAACAAAATGGGGACCTTCGATTCTGCATTGACTATCGCGGACTAAATGCCATCACGGTTAGAAATCGTCACTCTCTTCCTCTAATCTCCGAAACCTTAAGTCAACTGTCTCAAGCCAAATATTATACTAAACTTGATGTGATTTCAGCATTTAATAAACTTAGAATAAAAGAGGGTGATGAATGGAAAGCTGCCTTCACTTGTCGTTATGGACTTTTCGAGCCCCTAGTCCTACCCTTCGGTCTCTGTAACGGCCCCGCATCTTTTCAGTCATACATTAACCACGCTCTCCGAGGTCTATTAGATCAATTCTGTACTGCATATATGGACGATATATTGATTTACTCCAACAACTTAACAGATCACCGACGCCATGTCAAAACCATCCTCCATTGCCTTCGCGAAAACGGTCTGCAGGTAGATATATCCAAATGCAGTTTTGAAGCTACTGAAGTTACCTATTTGGGACTTATTGTCTCTACCAAAGGTATTTGTATGGACCCGAAAAAGGTTGCCTGCGTCCAGGAATGGCCAACGCCTAGATCGGCGCGCGACATTCAATGTTTTTTGGGTTTTGCAAACTTTTACCGCCGATTCATTCCGGAGTTTTCTCGGTTAGCCGCCCCTCTCACAGATTTGACCAAGAAAAATGCCCAATTTAAATGGGACGACCAATGCGACTCTGCTTTCTTTCGTATCAAACAAGCTTTCAAGGACGAGACTATGCTAGCCCACTTCGACCCCCGACGCCAGACTGTCATGGAAACCGACGCTTCTGATTTTGTAACCGCCGCCGTTCTCTCCCAATATGATAACATAGGTATACTACGCCCTGTTGCCTTCATGTCAAAAAAAATGTTACCAGCCGAGTGCAACTATGAAATATTCGACAAAGAGCTCCTGGCTATTGTTAACGCATTTGAGACATGG